CAGCTTCTCGTATAGCACCGAGGTACTGCTCTTCAACATGTGTCCCTCGTCATAGACACAAACGCAAAAGTCCATATTGCGAAGGAAGTGCGCATCAACCTTGCCCTTGGCAATGGTATAAGTGGTGATGACAACGTTGATGCTGTCTCTGTTATCCTCAATCGTCTCCCGGATCTCCGCACGCTCAGCCTGGCCGGCATAATAAGGCATGACAGAGAGGGTAGGGCAGAACTTTTGGAATTCACGCAGCCAGTTCTCAATTGTCGATGCAGGTACGACAATGAGATGTGGCCCCTTGAATCCCTTCTCATAAAGATGGGCCAAGAAGGCAATAACTTGGCAGGTCTTTCCCAGACCCATGTCATCGGCCAAGATGCAACTCAATTCGTGTTCGAACAGTAATGAGAGCCAGTTGATACCCACAATCTGATAGTTCTTCATCTTCAAGTCATCCCGCATGATTGAGGGCTGGGAGATGAATCGTCCTTTGCGTGCGGGCGCCACACCACCGGGCGCGGGCCCGTCACTGTCCTCATCCGAAGGTTGGCTTGCGGGGGTTCCTATGCCGGAGTCATGCGACTGAGAATCTCTAGGATCGATGGATACCAGCTCCAGCTCTCCGTCTTTCTTCCCGAAGATATCCACTCCCCATTTCTTCATTTCAGCTGCAATCGGTTTACCAAGTGATTCGCAGCGCGCGACGAGAGAATCGACGGCGTCATAGCCCACCCACATATCAACACATTTATCCACGATCTTGTCGCCAATTGGCTTGGGCGTTTTGCGGCCTCGGGCCCCCTTCGGCTTTGCATCTTCCTTCACCGGGGCAGGCACGGCGCGGACCTCGTCCAGAGACCTAAATGGTCGGTGCGAGATTACATGCTGTGCCACTTCCTCAGTAATAGCAGCAATATCCGCCAGGTCCAAGACGCTGCATGTGTTGAAGAATTTCAGTAATTTGAGATCGAACTGCACATCGCCTACCGCTTCCTCGACGTCCGAGTCGGAGTCATCGTCGATGATGATGGCTTCTGGAGACTCGGAGCGCCGGGGAGTTTCCGGTCTCCGCCCCTGCACCAAACGACCCGGTTTCTTGGGAGGGGTCTCCGCATCAGGTTCCGGGCGAGACTGGGGACGAGACTCCGAGCGCACGGGGCTCGGGGAAGAAACCCGGGTTTTGGGCCCTCTCATTAACCGTCTGCGCGGTTTCGCCTCGTCGTCCTCCGCCTGCGCCGCCGGGGGCTTCTGCGCGGCGAGAGTCCTTTGCAAGTTCGCCGCGGACCACTTGTCCTGGATGGTCCCTCTCGCCTTGATCTGCTGCTTCGCCACCGGGGCCGCGTTCGCCTGGCGCGACATGGACAGTTCATCCTCGGAAGAGACCTCCTTCCCTTCTCCACTGGCCAGGAGATCCAGAGCGTCCTCGTAGTTTCCACGCTTCGCTACGAGCGCTTGCACGCAGGCCTGCACAGACTTCTGCGGCATGACCTTGAGCATTCGTTGCACCTTGATCTTGATATTATAGTCCTCGATACTATCGAGCGAATACTGCCCGTCGACGGGCTGGGCGCGCGAAGGTCCATCCTGCCGAACTTTCTTGACGGCCATCCCTTTCGGCGTGGGGTCCATCTGCGCGGCGGGGCGCTTCGCAGGATTGTAGATAGCGCTGGTGGTGATCTCCTTGAAGCGGTCGATCGGCGAGTCCGCGACCTTGTCCGGACTGCGCGAGGACTTGGTGAACATGACGGGTTTGATGTCGGGGTTTTGTAGGTTCTGAGCATCCTCGTCGGAGGACCCGCCTCGATACGTGGGGCCGTCATCTTCGAGATCGATCACCGGAGCACGCTTCGCCGGGCCTGCAGAGACCGGCGGCCGGAACATGGTGCCGCTGGGGGCCATCAGGTTGGAGAGACGACCAGCGTTCGGGGTCGGACGGGAGGGGGAAGAGGTAGGACCTAGCGGGGAAGAGGCGGCGACTTGTACCACGGAGGCGCCCTTCGCAGTATACGGATTGTCGACCAGCTGGGTCGGTTGAGTGAAGCGCTGAGAGGCCGGGGTCAGCGATTGAGTTGCCACCGGTTGGTGGTGAGTAGCAGGAACGGTGGCGACCGTCTCATATTGGGTATCGTCTTTGGTTGGAGTACCGGGAACGACTTTTTTGTCGTTCACAGGAGAGTCAGGCACTGAGTCTTCCATGACGGAATGACTCTTCAAAGAGAGGATTGAGAGCTTAAGAGGGTGAACGCAGAAATGTCGTCATGCGCCAGGGGGAAATGGAGAAATAGAGAAAGGGGAGAGTCTCTCTGAAGTGTGAGAGGAAGAGAGCGCAGGAGGGAAAGATTAGCAAGGCGGAACAGGCGAATTGATGATTGCCTCCTCCTTCAACACGGTAAGCACCGTAAGTAAAGTTAAGTTTCTCTGGGTTTTTCTCCGCAAAACGCGCCCAGACGCGATCGATCACGTGAAGTGGCGCTTCAATTAAGCCCAGGAAAGGCAGTTCTGTTTCGCTGCCCGGTGGTGAGACAGCCGCTGATCGTCTATATATACTTACTAGGGGCTGAATTTAGGTACAACACCCTATTCATTTCTCCTGCGTGTTCGTTGCCTGAGATTGTCTACATTGTTGCCTTTCTGTCCAAACAAAAAGTGTTCTCCAAGATCTATCCGATCGGGGACCAATCAGCAGCCCGATTCTACTGGAGTCCGGGATGAGTTCACCCGCAATTAACTTATCACCACTGCAATAATCAAGTGTTGTTAAGCCGGATTGTTTATTGTTCCTTCTCCTTCGAATCAGCAAGAAACGTGTCTGTTTGAGAATATCAACACTTCCCACTTATAACAGTGTTATGCTCTGATCTTTATCCCTGAGCAACTTATTCACCCATTCTCAGACCTACCCTGCCTGACACGTGGACCGGCAATCATTAAACACCACCACCCATCGCCATCACAATCATTATCACCACCTCCACAAGCCAGTCCACAATGTCCGCTCGTCGCGCAGTCGATAAATCCTCTGCTAAGGATGTGGTCACTCCGTCAAACTCCGAGAAGTCCTCTGACTCAGATGTAACCCCTGCAGTTCCCACGTAAGTGCATCCAATTCGTCCCCAGATGGGGGGGACTCTACGCCACATGGCCCGCTGTTCGGAGTTGGCCCCAAGCCCTATATGTCGGGGATAATTGGTTCGGCTACCTGAAATTCATCAAATGGAAGCAGAGCAGCTCGTGCTATACTGGAAGGTGTGGAGACATGGCCGTCACTGACAGTTGGACCCCAGAAATGTTATCATGAAGCTGTTGGGCTTCTCCGCCGCCATGGTGATTGCACCTATTGGCATGTACTTTATCACAGTTGATTTCATCGGTGGTACGTTGTCCTAGGAGTATTCTTTCTGGAAGAGCAAGAGAAAGACATGGTGTTGACCGGGACATTCAGGAAGTGCCACTGTCGGCGGCATCGTTGCAGCCATCATGGCCAACATCGTCCTCTTCTCCTATGTCTACGTCGCGTGGAAAGACGATCAGGCGGAGAGAGAGGCCGATGCCAAGCAGAAAGAGAAGAAGGCGCAGTAGTGCGGGTTTTCGAGTATGATTTGGTCTTTGTTTTCAATATCATTCAATACCAGGTGTTTGATCTATGGCGTTCCAAGGGCAGTTGCGTGTATGCTATGTATCTATCATGTGTCTATGGGTGATTGCTTCAGAATATCAATTTTGCAAGTCCTAATGTGACCGAGCATCGGTGCTTACAGTCAAGCGTAGACCGTTGTTGTCCAATCGCAACACGCACTACGCTAGCAGACTGTCGATACTCCGAGTCTGGCTGTCGAGGGTTTGCGGGGTGTGGGCAAAGGGCTTTATCAAAACCAGGGTGTAGGGAAACCACGCCCTGGGATGCGTTTGCTAAGCTTGAAGAAAGGCCATCCAGGGAATCAAACATCGGGCCAGATTAAGGAAGAATAATATAATTAAATCAAGTCGGGCGCCTCTTGACAAACTCCTCCAAATCAGCCTTGGTTGCCACGCCGAGCACGAACTTGCGCGACGCATCTGTGACAACCGCGAAGGTCTGCTTAGCCCGGGTTGCGCCACTGGCATCGGTCTCGCTCTCGAAGAATTGTTCCAGCTCCTCCAGCGGGGTCTCCATCGTGATCACTTGATATGTGCCTCGCTTGCGGTTGAACCGCTGCATGGCAGCGGAAACTGAGTCGGTTTCCTTCACGGCGCCCTCCTTCAGCAATTCCTTGAGGCGGGGGATGCTCAGGTATCCGAGGAGGGAGCGTTTCGTCGACGAGATGACGGTGAGGTGTGTGTAGTCGCGCTCGTACGCAGCGAGTAGAGCAGAGGAAATGGGGTCGTCGGGGGAAACAGACAGCGCCGGGGGAGGGTCGAGGTCCTCGATGGTGGCCTAGATTCGCAAGTCAGTTTTCTGAGAGAATCCCCGTATCTTAGGATAGCATGGTACTGACACCACGGTATTTGTCGGCCCAGGCGGACTGCGAGACCGGCTGCTGTGCATCCTGAGCGAGCTTCTGTTGGGCGAATGCCTCACTTGCGCTCAAGTAAGAGGCCATGGTGGGAGGTCGTAGTGGTGGTGGTAGTAGATATGAGAGGACTGAGGGGTTCGTTCGCTTGATAATGCACGGAGCTCTCAATTCGACAACAACTGTCGGGGAGTGAATGCCGGGTTCGGACGGCGTGGAAATGAACAGGTGCGGTTAATATTGCGTGAGTCAAGCATCCACTCGGTCACTGTCAGGTGGTTAAGTGATCGGGACCAAAATTCAATCCATCGCCGAGCGGGCCTGCCAGTTGGTGGGATGAGCTGAAATGGGTTAGCCTCCGCCTGGCTCCCGTGCGACGTCATGAACCGGCAGAATCGCCGCCCATCTTCCACCCCCTCATTGTCATCACTTCCTTTCCCCATTCCTCGAACCCTTCCATCCGGGAGACATCACTGAAGCTCCACACTTTCCGTGGGCAAACCTTTCTGTTTTCAGCTCACGTTGTGCCTGGTGACACAAAGCAAAGGGTTCCAAGCTTGCCGTCGATCAATTCTTCCATACTCTCTTAACTCCGCTCTATCTCCACCGCTGAAAGTGGGGATCGGTTGTAGACACTCATAGATAAGGAACCTGTCAGTCCAGCTTTCTAGAGTTTTGTCCATCAGCTATCACACTTTTCACGGTGAAGTACCTAACGTGCTTTCCAGCGCGACTGGATCATCCTAGCCATCATGTTTCCTACTGAAGGCGTGATCGCGCAAGCCTTTTCCTCTCAGCATCCACTGGGACAATCCCACTCGCACCCTCAGCCGTCGGCAGCGCCGGAAATGCAGAAGCGAGAGCCATTTCCTGCCTGGAGCGTGATTGAAGATACCAAGAAGAAGGCAGACGCGCTGGCTAAGGAAGCCTCTCGAGAACTCGATCTTGCAAGCCAGAAGGCTCAAGCCAAGACAGGCAAGATTGAACCATGGACTCCCAAATACTATGCGGCTTGCACTGTCGGTGGAATGCTTGCCTGCGTGAGTATCAGACCATGCATGGGATAGCCTTGTTTTAGAGAGTATACAATTCTCAAGGTACTAATAGTTGCCCCGTGCATAGGGTCTGACCCACACCGCTGTGACCCCTCTAGACTTGATCAAGTGCCGCCGTCAGGTCGATCCGCTCCTGTACAAGAGCAATCTAGAGGCATTCCGCACAATCCGTGGGGCTGAAGGATTGCGAGGAGTATTTACTGGCTGGGGACCAACCTTCTTCGGTTACAGCGTAAGCGTGGGTGTCCGTGCAATCACCCTTTCTTACTGACTCGTGGAAAAGGCCCAAGGTGCATTCAAGTACGGTGGCTATGAGTACTTCAAGAAGCTCTACAGTGACCTTGTAGGCGTGGAAAACGCGACTCGATGGAAGACTTCTTTGTACCTGGCTGCCAGTGCGTCTGCAGAGCTTATCGCTGACGTAGCCCTCTGTCCTTTTGAGGCCGTCAAAGTACGTATGCAGACAACCATTCCTCCGGACATCCGGTCGACGTTCACCGGCATCAACAACGTGGTCTCCAAAGAGGGCGTGGCTGGGTGAGTAGCGTCCTGTATCTGCCATATGGTCGCAAGGTAATAGCTGACCTATTCAGTCTATACAAGGGTCTCTATCCGTTGTGGGGTCGTCAGATTCCGTACACCATGATGAAGTTCGCGTCCTTTGAGACCATTGTTGAGATGATCTACAACTACCTGCCCGGCCAGAAGTCCGACTACAACAAGGGTGCCCAGACTACCGTGGCCTTCACTGGTGGCTACCTGGCTGGTATCCTTTGCGCAGTTGTGTCGCACCCCGCCGATGTGATGGTCAGCAAGCTGAATGCCAACCGTCAGCCTGGCGAAGCCTTCGGTGCTGCGATGAGTCGCATCTATAAGGACATTGGTTTCCGCGGCCTCTGGAACGGTCTTCCCGTCCGTATTGTCATGATCGGCACCTTGGTAAGTCACTCTTCTCCAACCTCAGGGATTCTGACTGACAGCATATCACGTATAGACCGGACTCCAGTGGATGATGTACGTATTACCTCATTGACTATCACAGTCGATCTTTTCTCGGACCGGAGCTAACTTGTGACAGTTACGATTCGTTCAAGATCTTCATGGGTCTGCCGACGACCGGCGGAGGCCCAGCTGCGGAGAAGAAGTAGTGGTGAGTAGATGCTGTGGCCAGTCAAGGGTCTTCTCTGTTCTGTATGCACTTTATTAGTCCCTACACAACGTACTGTAGTTATCTCTATCTCTGAGAAGGTGTAGTTGGCGTTTCCGTACAATGATGAGATTATTTGCACTTGTGACTGGATCAGCAGCGAGCACCGAGGCCGGTGATAAAAAACAGGGGCATGAGGGCAATCTGCGCCTGAGGCCTTATCGGCGGACAAACCCGCTTTAGTCACGCATGGAACCAATCAAACCCGGAGGAGCATCTTATCAGTATCAAGACGTCATCTCCCCTGGCCGCGCATGGCTGGAGATACGATAACTACGGATGTGTGTAAAGTAACTTCCAGTTCGCTCATTAATTAGCCGATGAGAAAGACGCCTGGTCCTGCAGCCCTTTAGGTGGGACTGACACTAGAAGAGATTAAGTTTTCCACGGCCCCTTGACCTCGGAAGCGAGAGAGTCATCTCGAACCCTCCGAAGGCGCGGTGGCTCAGCCCGACAAAGTACTAGGGCAGCATCCGTAATCCATTGCAACACGAGCTATTATATATTGAGACGAACCTCCATCCCGCCACCATAACCCGGGCACATTCTCTTTCGATCCACTGCATATTGAAGCACGCACAGAGATTGCATAGTCTCTACTTCAAAGACGACTCTTTTTCAATCTGCAAGGTATGCCACCCTCCCCCTCCAACATTGCGCCCAGCCTGTCTCCTCCATCACATCGCATCGCATCCCGCTATCGCGCAATCGCCATCAGACAACCCCAAACTAACCGCCCAACTTCCCAACCACCAGCCCCCGAAACACACAGCGCAATTCCCTACGGGCTAGAAAGTAAAATGGGCGAACACGATCCCATCGTCTCGCACGGCCGAGGAGGTACGCAATCCGTCCCGAGGCTCGCATCCCAACTTCATCCTTATCCCCCCCCCTCCCCGACTCATCCACCACGACATCCATACTAACTACTAACAACACCGCAGGCCAAGGCAACATCGGCGCCGACTCAACCGAGTAAACCACCTCCCCCCTCAAACAACCAAACAAACACCCTAACCACAACCCGTTGAATGAATCTAGATACGTCGACGCCGCCATCGTCCGTGAAGGCGTCTACGGCGACCAAGGCGACGGCGCCTACTCCGCCGGTGTAAGCCACACCCACACCCACACCCACACCCTCTCCCCTTACCACTTACCACAAATCCAATCCCACTTCTAATACGGTAGAGGATGGATTAGCGCGGCGGAGCAGGCAACATCGGCTCCCCGCACGTCCGACCGACCTCGAAGGTGCCGCACGACGCGGAAATGATCCCCGAGCTGGCGATCCGGCAGTCCGTCGATGGGGATTATCATACCGGGGTATGTTTTGCCCCAACCCGGAACCCAAAACTCAGATGAAGGTTTTTTTTTTTTAAGGGTCCAGGTGAATGCTAATCTTTTGTGACTGGGCTGGGCGGGTGACAGCGCGGCGGACAAGGCAACGTGCATCTCGACGAGGAACACCGCAAGGAGAAGGAGAAGAAGCATCAGCACCGGCATGATCAGTATGAGGGATTGGCAGATAAATTGAAGTATAAGATTTTTGGGCGGAAGTGATTCGCCCACGAAATCACGGGTTGGGGTTTTGTTTTGGGAGAACAGGGGGGGGGGGATGGTATATATGGAGGTGGTTTCTGCGGTGGATTTTGATTCTTTCTTCTGTCTTGGGCTTGGATTTGTTCTTTTTGATTCCCTGGTTTGTTTGGTTGTTTGGTCGTTTACGATTACGAGTCAGATACTGGATGGAGAGGTAGTGTTGGTAATAATTAGTCCATTTTCGGGCAAATCTTGCAATGTACTTCCTATACACCGTCTATAATAGGTATAATGAAAACAGCACAGTCAAGAACAAACATAAAGATTGAGTCGAATGAAACCAAGCTCTCGGTTCTTTTGTCCATTCATTAAAAAGGATCGGTAGATTCGCCATTGGTATCGGGACAACATCAGAAATTGATTGGAAGAAACAACAGTGGGGTAAAGGGGGGTTCCATCAAATATCATAAAAGGAGAGCAAGGCATTCCGTGTATCATGGTCTCATCAACCCATCAACCTCATGCGAAAGTGAAAATGAAAGACAGAAAAAGTGATTACACGAGCGAACTCGAAACAAGAACGAATCCAACCCCACAAGAGAAGATACACGACACACTCCGATAATCCCAGTGTTGTGCTCAGCGCGAAGAAAGGATGTTGTAGTAAAGGAAATGAAGGTGTTGGGGGGAATCTCCATATGAACGCCGGTTTTGACTGTAGTACACCCATACAAGTATGAAAAAAGGAGGCGAGAAGAAAAGGACGAGGGGCGTGTGAGAGAGGGGGCGACCACCAGGATCGTCGAATTGGGGGGTTTGGTTTAGTTCTTGCTGAAGCGACGTTTGAGCCAGCTCTTTCGCTTCGAATCATTGCTCGTCTCGGTGTCGTTGGTCGCTTTGCGCAGATGACGACGGGCGTTCGCCGCCGTGGGCGGTGGTCCACCTCCGACGGGGCCCCCGGCGTTGGGATCAACGGCTGGCGGGTTACTGCTGCCAAAGTTGATGCGTCCACCGGCGGCGGCGGGCTGACCGTTTTCGAGATTGGGACCCGCGCTGAACCCTTGGAACCCGTAGCTCTCGGCCATCTGCTGCTGCTGCTGATATTGTTGTTGCTGCTGCTGTTGTTGCTGCTGCTGGTGGAACTGATCGATCGAGCTGTTGACCGAGCTTGGGTCCGTCGAATTGGCCCAGGTCTCGCCGTTGCTGCCTGAGCCCGAGCCAGACGCAGCAGTCACGTTATCGTATGATTTTTGGTATGCGTGCTGCGAATATCCGCTCTGTTCGGTGTTCATCCGCGCTTGGTGGCGTGGTCGCGGTCGGCCGCCGCCGCCGCTGCCGCCATGATTGTAGGGATAGTAGTTTTCGGCTTGGCCGTTGCCGTTCTCCACGTAGCTGTCCGGTCGCGAATAGGTGCCTCGGCTGTTGTGGTAGCCATTCTGGTCGTAGTGCGCTCTGCTAGAATACCCTCCGTTGGGTGCTGGAGTGACCCTCAATTAGCACAGTGAAACTTCGCCATTGACAGACCAGCACGTTGACAATGCGAGGCGCATGCCTCCTGGTAGGTGAGGGAGTGAGTGAGTCGTACCTCCGTAGTAGCTTCCCCGTCGGCTGTACTCTGGCGTCGCGGGTGTTGATTCCTCTGCTGGTTATCATTAATTTGATGCCGGAATCAGTCTGCCGGAGTAAGGGGGAGAGACTCACCTGTCCTTGCGTACGACACAGGCCTACTGCTGTATGTTCCATAGATCGCAGCTTCGAAGGAACGGATGGTATCAAGCGGGCGCTCAAATCGCGGGCGCGTGGGATTCGAAAGATCGGGATCAGCTATTTCAGGAAAGAGAGGGGGTAAAACGGTCAGTTCAAAGGCTCCCCCGCATGCACAAATACATCTGAGACATTGAAGGAGGCCAAACGTACTAATGACATTGCCGTACTGGTCCTTGTGCTGCATAGTCCGCAAGGAACCCAGCGTCGACTCTTCGAGGGCAACCGTATCTAGGAAACATAGTTAGTCGGGAAGGTTTGCGCAAAGCCACCCGAGCGACGTGGGAACTTCCGAAAAGTGGAGTAAACAGTGTTGGGATAGAATGGTAGGAAGAAACCAAAAAGGAGAATTGTCGGGGGGGAGTAGAGCTGGCCAGGAACTGCGATAAGGGGGAATTTCCGGGTAGAGACGTACTAGGCTGGGCTTCGCTCATAGCAACCATCGGATCGGCTTTAGAATGTAGTTGACGGCGATGCTTCTCTTCGGCGGATTCAGTGAGTTGGATTTTCTTGCTGGAATGGCCCGACTGTTGGGACTTATTCGACTTTCCACTAAAACTGTAACCCCGATTATGCCTGGGAGGCGCGACCGAGTGGGAGGTGGCCATGGTTATTTATCGTCGGGGACTCCTGCTTTAGCGCCTGATAACCAACAACTGCAGCAGGTTTTCGCAGCGCGCTGTCTTAGCTATGGCGGGCGGGTGTGGAGCGCAAGCACGATCCAGGTGGGAACTGCCAAGGATTGAACGATGATCGCTGGCAACGATTTCTGCCTTTCTGTGATTTTCGGACGTTTTTGTTCGCGGTTTCAGAACTGCACGACTGAGTCCAGCCAACGGGAGGAACGAGCGACCAGAACGTGGGGTATTGAGACCACTTTTCTTATGGATCAAGTTGCAGACTGCGGAGGGAGTCGAGCTTCTATACACGTTCTCGAACAGTTGCTTCTGCGGCCGACGAACTGATATGATAGTATTGTGGCTTAGTTTTGTTGTCTCGTCTCTTACAATGACAGAACAACAAGTTCGACGACGGCGATGCGAACCAGGACTTGGTAGCGTCAAGTAGCGTCAACGAGCGAAATGGTGGAGACCGTCGCTTTCAAGGCTAGCAGCGAGAGTACGTGTGTTGAACTACCGAGGACCCCACAGACAAGACAGTGAGTTCTTTTGTAGAGTGATGATTCTGTCCGAGCACACAAGTCAAGCGATTGTGGTCGTCACACAGCGATCGACAGTAGGGAAAATGACGCCGGTGCCAAAGTAGTGTGTGGTAGGCCTGTTGGGGGGCGGGGGGATAATGGAGGGAGTTATATGCAGGATAGATAGGTGGAGAAGGATTCAACAAGGTCTTCAAACGAAGGTCAACAAGAAGTAACTGAAGAAATCAGAATTCAAGTCAAGCGACCATGGAGGAGGGTCATTGAGAGTATTTGACTTGAGAATTGGCCAGTGGTGTTGACGACAGGCGCCACGCAATTAAGAGGGGATCACTTCCTGGGAGTCTGGGACCCGATGGATGGCCAAATTGAGACTCTGCCTATCAGATGGAGAGCGGACCACTGGGGAGGATCACCGGATCTTCTTTTTTTCTTCGCAACACTTGTTTGTCTCTATTAATACCTAGTACTCTGATACTCGTATGTGTGCGGTGGTGTGGGTGAGTGGGTGAGTGGATGAGTGGGTGGGTAAATAGTCCAGAGTGGTGAGTGGTGAGATTGACTGGCAGTCTGGGATAATCCTTTCATAATGAATGGAAATGCACAATTTCTCTTTCTTATCTACCCCAGAAAGCTTCGATCAAGTGTCTGTCCACCACTATCACCACCTGCATCACTCCAATGACCATCCGCTCAAACACTCTTGACTGAACTCGACTGCATCACAGTCTGTCAATTGGAGTATTGCATACTCAGCCACCTGCATCGCCAATTTTGTCCCGGTTAAAGAAAGATGAGGCCCATCTTGGGTTGGGGATTGAACTTATCCTTGGGACCATCGGATATCTTCACAAACCAGGAAGAACCGGATACTTAGCCATACCTAGCCATTACTTAGCCCAGTGTTACGCCAGCTTTCCCCTCCCCTGGGCATGACCCGGCCAATCACTAGGGCAGAAGGGGGCCCAACCACCGTCTGGAAGACTCTCGTTGGCTTCAGATCCATGGACTAGGACTGGCACCATGTGTCACCGTATCCCCCCAGGGACGAACCTGGTCCAGATCATCACAAATCACTGATTCGCTGTCAGTCATGGATGAATTGTACTGAGTACAGTACATTCTCTTGCCGCCTGATCGACCCCTGCTGGTGCGCACATCATCAATGCCGAATTCAGTCGACGATTCCAGACTCGTGTCGGAAGTAAGCATGGAAGATCAATCATCTGCCATCGACATCATTCTGACTCAAATTTGAGGGCCGCTCTCTGCCTTAAGGTTTTTTTTTTTTATGTTTCCCACTCGTCACTCACAAACCAGTCGGCCTTTTCCTCTCCCTCGTACATACCTACTTATCAGTTCCAGACGGAACTCCCGACCATGGTTTATTTTTGGCCGGGACTCCGGCCACGCTTAGCCTTTTTGTTCCTTAGTTGCTTACTGGTCTTGCTTTTCCCGTATGCCGATACGACGGACATGATCTGATCCAGCCCGGATTTTGGAGGCAGGTCATGCAAAGCAGGAAAAGAAAATCTTTATCCATCCACACTGCACGACTGCTCCCTAACTAAAGTCGCGGAACGCGCACTAGTCAACTAATCCTGCTCCGTCGGCTTCCAATTGGCCTGACATGAAAACTTGGAATATGTCTGCCTGTCGCCATCTCAAGTGGCTCGAGAAGATAATGCTGGTTGTCTGTCGTAGGTCGGACTGCAGCTCGCCTACAACAGCACTTCCCACCCACTCAGCTGCTGTGTGCCAGCCATACTTGCTACCCTTCTGAGACAACGCCACACAAAACCCAGCCCCTTCTAATCAATAGTATGAAGACTGACTATCAACATCTCTAATGAGGAAACAAGATGTTGCTGCACTATAGTGGTGGGGTCGTGCCTCGCTGCAATGAGTTTTTGCACTCTAACAGCCTCATGCAAAGAAAAGTGAAGACAAATCCGGAGATATGAAAGAAAAGTTGTAAGGTACAGTAGCATGAAGGTCAAAGCAAGGTCAGGCTAAGACATTCCACATTGATGGATAGATTCTTCCAGAATGGTTCTTCTCCTCGGTAGCAGCCATCACCAAGCCGCGCGGTTGACGAGATCGTGCCGATCCCTATCATTCTTCCTGCAGTGGGTCACGCTGGGGCGGGGATGGCGCTTACTTTAATTCTTCTTATTTACTCACTAAATTCCAACCAACGCTCCCCTGCAAGGGAGTCTCTTTAATCTGTGAACGGTTCTCGCAGTCTTGTTTTTGGATAGTTGATCTTCGATCTCATCAACCTCGATGTAATTACGCAGCCGTCGATCGACATGACCTGCCAATCCCAATTCTGGTGCATGCTCCGATGTAATGAACATATCTCTCTCTCTCTAAGTGCAGGATGAACCCACTTGGCGTCTTTAAGCATTTCACAATCTTGCTTATCGTCATAAGTCTACCGCCTTCCTCCAAATACTTACTCCGACCTGCGCAATCGGGTTGAACAACATAGTGATATTACGTTTAGAGAGCTGGAGTCCGCCCGCCCGCGATCCGACCAGATCCACAATCAATCAATCAAACCACTTTAGAATGACATCGATGTTTCACCATACCTTGCTTAATCCAGTTAATACTCCTGTTGCCAGCTAACTGCCTACTAAGAGTAGCTACTTACTGTAGCTGCATACCTATACCTCGTTTACCGATTCCGTTATCCTGCTGCCGATCTCCGCTATACCGAAACTGTTGATATAACAAACGTTGCGTTCCAAACTAGGTCATTCTAGCGAGGTGCTGCAATATACATATCTACCAGTCTACTCCACTAATCTCATACAAAGTACCTTGCTCAGACGGACTCCTCGGATGTGGACTCTAATATAATCCTCGCCATGTCTCCAACACTGATTCAAGTTTCAATATGTCTATCCTGAACTCCAATCATCTTGACAAAATGATGTCACCAATCATCGAACCTTGCCACGACAAAGACCGGCAGCTATACAAAATGGAGAAGCGTAGGACGTATCCCACAGCAAAGTCCGGTATTAATCGAGTGATTCAAAACACAATCTCCGAAACTCGCAGTATCTGCCCAGGATTGGGGGGGGGGGGGGGAAGACGATATATGTTAATGTCCATTCCCCGAAGAAAAATACATTCATGCGACAACTCCAATCTCCACAGACTGCCTGCTTTCGATGGATCATCGAGGTGGTTCGGTATACATGGCGACGTGTCTGCGCTTGAGGTCTGGAGCCAATGCAGTGTGATGCAGTCGGCGAACGGTACCACTTGATCTGTTTGTGACAGCTGCACCGGCGCGAGGGAAGGGGCTGTGGTTATGGATTGAGTGCGAAGGGTTGCGTTGTATTGAAGTTAGTAGTCGATATGGGTTCTCTCATCGGTTATAGTGATTATATTCACTTTGGGGAAGCCCAGCTCATCGATGGAAAGAGTATTCCTAGATTGATTGTATCATGATGTACTGCTACGCGGAGTAACGATCTGTCCCAGAGTCATATATGATGACCTCATGTGGTTCGGACCCCATGGCTATATTACACCTCGTCGGCGGGTGGGTATAAGAGGGTGAATCGTGGGTGGTATCAAGGCAGATGAAGGTAGAAGTGCGGAAACTACAATCCGGGAGTGTGGAGAGGTTGAGCCGGGGTGTGTTATTCCGCTCTAGATTACCACATTGGTGTCTATTATCAAGTGCTTGAGCTAATATGCCGTGCAACAGGAGACAACAAACACGCTAGGCCTGCGTGGACTCAAGGGGAGAAGGCAGCAAAAGCAGCTGGAGCCTCGTCATGACCTGAATGTGATTTCTGGGTCGAACCGGGCAGGGCAATGGTGGGCGATGGAGTTCGACACCTGAAGCGTCTTGCCCTTGCGCATCGATAGTATCAGAGTTGCTGGCTACGAAACAGGCATGGCATATTCCAACAGGCTGAGCTCTGAGAACATCGTCCTTGCGTGTTGTTTGACTGGGATGTCGGGGATACGGCATGTAGTCGAGATCGGCGGTTGTTGTTGCATATGGGAATCTCAAATGTGGAACATCTGCTCTAGGTGGTGACACATGCTTGAGAAGGTGCCCAGTGAAACCAAAAAAAAAAAGCCGTCAAATCTCTCCCCTGATACGGTCGAAACTACCCAAAACTCAAAACTGGATTGAAGGACCCGTGGTGTTGAAATGGTATGGATTGTGTTGTTTATGAGCGTCAGGTACATGGGAGGTGGGGGAAAGCCATGCTGCCGGCCAAGGCACACCGAGAGCTCACCAGTACTGAAACTGGATCGAGCCCTTCGTCTATATGCCTATGGTCCGGTAGGTCACCATGCTGGAAAAAAGAAGAAAGAAGTTCTTTTAATTTAGTTTCGTAGGGCTAACCGGCCCTGCCTCTCCCACGAACATTACCAACCCGCCAACTCCATCTCAACATCGGCTCATACCGT